TCAAGTCCATTAACACCACATTTAACACACAACAAATCCTCCTATAAATAGCTGGCAGGTGGTTTGCAAAAAGACACAACACACAATACATTCCTCACTTTTCTTGAGCTAAAAACACTTCCAGCTACTCCCAAATTTCCCTAGTGTTCTGCTATTGTTCAAGTTCACCGGGACTTTCGTTTGTGTGCTCAAATGATCGTTCGTTAGCCACCGTATCCTGGGAAACGGTCGTTGTAACGCTCCTAGCACCGTGGGAGGCGACGAATACGTTTTAAGGACACGCACGAGCTCTGGCTAAAATCTGCTCCATCTTATTTCTATTTTTCTTTTAGCTATTTTATTTATTAATTAATTTTATTTAATTAATATTTCTTCATTTTTCCGAGACACACCCAACATCTAATACAAACGTTGTAGTTCTATGAGTAAAAGTCAACTTTTATATAATTCTGATAAAAAATCAACCAATATACTTATATGAATGTAAAACAAATGACGTTGTATAATTATAACAATTTTTTTACTAATATCCCACATTATAAATAACACTAAAGCAAATTTTAAACTTGTTAATTACATAATGCTCGTGCTTCACGGCTTGAAAGCTAATTAATAAATACAAATGTGATTTTTTGAAACACTTCAATTGGTCAATTTAAACTTCATCAAACGGGTTCTGATGGAAATTGATTCCTATTTGTTCTCGAAATTAACACATCAATTGAATTGTTTTATCATGTTTGTACACACTCTTATACACACTTTTGTACATATCTATGTTTGTGAAAGTTTTTTTCTTGTCTGTGAGCATCGATTCACAGACAATATTTTGCACAAACAAAATATTGTCTGTGAACCGGGTTCACAGACAAAAAAAAAACTTAACAGACATGGTGTGTATAAGGTTGTTATTTTATTGAGGTATTACCTAAGTCGTACCTATGGTGTATTGGAAGTACATATGCACCGGTGGACGTAGCTCAACTGGTAGCGCGGGAGTGCCACAAGGATTAGGTCCCGGGTTCGAATCCCGACAACTGCAATGAGATGTTACTATGCTAAAAATGCATAGGGTCTCTGTAAGTACCGGGGACAGAGCCTCACTCTCTATCTGTCAGATTGAGATTATAATCCAACTTACATCCTCCTAACGTACCGTCCGATCGGGGTTGGGAGCCTTCAGAATGGGATGCCATCCTTTTTTTTGGAATTACCTATACAGTACTTTGTATTTTGTAATATTTGATGTTCCTAGGCACCTTACACTTATAAAATAGTGAAAGACCAAATCATGATATAATCTCAAAATAATTTTGAAGAAGATGGTTCAAGGTCAGCCTGATGTAAAAAATCATCACATTAAATGGAACTCTTACACAGATGAACTATGCTTGGTGTACACCTTTTGTGTACATCCGTCTGTCCCCAGTAGACGAGTTGTCTGTCCACAGACAATTCTACAGATATTTTTCACACAATTTTTCTAAAAGGTGTACATCACACATTTTTCTAAACAGATATTGTCAATGATTGAACTTGAAATTTCAACCCTTAAATATCCAAACCCAATTTATATTTTCTCAGACAAAAAAGGTACTTGGCCCAAACGCGTTTGTTAAAACAGTCAGGAAATATTAATATTGCGTAATAAATTTGTTTTATTTGACAAGTCCAAACAATTATTACAGGTTTATTAAATTGTTTAAGAGCACGTGTATTTGAACATGTTAATCTGTCACTTTCAGTTTACAATTGTCACCTTCATGAACTCACTTGTACGTGACAGTCACATAGAATTCATTTATATATAAAAAAAGGATGACACCGACCGGACGGCACGTTGGGAGGATGTAAATTGGACCATAATCCCAATCTGACAGATAGAGAATTGGGCTCTGTCCCCGGTACTTGCAGAGACCCTATGCATTTTTAGCATAGTAACTCCTCATCGCAGTTGTCGGGATTCGAACCCGGGACCTAACCCTTGTGGCACTCTCTTGCTACCAGTTGAGCTACATCCACCGGCAGAATTCATTTATAAGACCACTTGGAGTTGGGTAAGATTAGAAATCCAAAATGTTAAAAGTGGAACTTTTGAACTCCTAATTCATTGTTGTGGTTGGCTAAATGGGAGAGTAAAAATGGAGAGGAGGATGTATGAGTTATCTTTGAAGGATCTCAATGCAAGAGGGCAAAATAAAAAAGGAAAGGGGAGGGGCGGAACCTGTTGTGCGAAGAGGGGAATTGTTTACCAAAGTGATGTCGTGGTGATGTCATCGTTGCATTATAATATCCCAAGTTTTTTAGAACTTGTATAACTTTTTTATACGTTCTCCAAATTTTTCAAAATATATATCAAAATTCATAAAATTTTATGATCTTTCATATGATACCAATATGTAATCTGTAAAATGAAACAAAAAAATCTTAAATTTTAACTGTTGAAGTTTTCTTCAGTATAAAAAATGAAGAAACACAAATTTTTAATTCATGGAGTCTTCACAAATAACTTACTACTCCTTTCGTCCCAATTTGTAAGATACTTTACGGTTTACGATGTTTGACCGACAATAAAGCAAATTGATCTCTATCAACACTCAAATTAGTTTTAGAAAATAAAGTTTACATATTCAAAAATTACATTAAAATCGCTACAAAACCTGCAAAAAATAATTCAAACTTCATAAACTTTTGATATATAAAGTAAAAGATTAAGAGTGATTTATGTTGACCAAGTGAATAGTAAATGTATCTTATAATTTGGGACTGAGGGAGTGTTTTATAATCGAACATTACTTGAACAAAGTTCATTTTTTGTTAACCGAAAAACATTAAAAAATTAATGAAACTTATTTATTTTTACATCGAAATGTGTATTTTTTTATTTCATAATTATTCAGGAAAAAAATTAAAAGAAAAACATTACTTATAATAATTTAATTAATGTTTTACTAAATTAATATGTAAAAAAAATGTACAGAGTTTATTTTATTGACGGTGCTGGAATGCAGAGAAATGAGAGTCAAAACACTATTTTCATATGGACGGAGCCCGTTTTTAACATTTAGACTCTCACACCACTCCAAATGGTCTAACCGTCTAAGGACTTGGTAAACACATCTCTCCCGATTCTTCTTTTCCTAAATCATGTCCATTAAGTAACATTCCGTCCATGTTTTAATCCTACTCTCTAAATAATATTTAGGTCGAAATTAGTATGCTTAGTTCTATGTCTTTTAACTTTGTATGATTTAAAGAGTTTTTGAACTTTTATATTTGACACAATAATTTTTAGAAATTGCTTAAAAAGTCGAAATAATAGCAAATGTATAACTAAAATAATGTCATGGATAAAAAGAATGACCGTTTACACTTTATTACTTTCGTAATAACTTTAATGATCATAATGATTTTCTAAACTATATTGTAGTGACTATATTTATATACTTGTAGTGACTTAATTAAGTAATATCTCATGAAAATTCACTTTAAAAGTATTTTGATTTGGACATTAATTATTAACAATTAGGGCTATTAGTTGGGCGTGGGGGTGGGGGGTCATGTAACTCCGAATCCATCCCAAATTTCAATGTTTGTTACTAGTAGTTTATCAGGGCAAAAGCACTATTATCAAACCACGCCTAATATATTACCATGAGTCCATGAGCACTCATATTCTTGCAAGGGAAGTCCGTTCACCGATAGGACTTTATACTTCATCTTTCCCATGTACTTTGTATCCGGCCCATTAGTGACCCTATTGTAAATGGGCCTTCCAAGCCCAAGACTTGGGAGAAGTGGTATATTTGCTTTGTATTAATGAATTCTGAACTCTTACAACTACTCTCAGAGGACCATTTACAATAGGGCCACTAATGGGCCGGATACAAAGTATATAGGAAAGATTAAGTATAAAGTCCTATTCTGGAGGCCATCTGTGACCGATGAGGACACGAATATGAGTGCTCATGGTAATATATGTCGGTACTTGGTTGGAGAATCCTCCAGTTTGTCTTACTCATACCTTAAATTGTGGTGATCGTTAATAAAGTTATTTGATTTTCAAAAAAATTATTGCCATGAGCACGCTATTATACTCAACAACTATTATATCAAACAAAACTAAATTATATAATCACTTTTTATATATCAACCAATTACACTATATTCCTTTTAACATCTTTAAGTTACTAAAGCTAGCTAGTAAAAGGGGGAAATGACGATTTGAAGTCAGCGTGAGCACCCAACCGATCATCCATCTAGCTAGAGCTTCATCAATGAAATATTAAGTTGATGTTTAGTAAAAACATGTGTTATTGCAATATTATTAATTTTACAATAACAAGTTAAAACCTTTTTATGAATTTCTGTCATTATCTTTTAATGATCTGAATTTTGTTTATATAATCATGTACTCGTTTACACTATACATGCTCGATATGATTATATGTATAATCAACAATAATAAAATATAAGAGTAATGGGGGTATTCAATCATACTCGATCAAAATAATTATCATACTACCAAATTTATCTCCTAATAATCTTTTGAATGATGATATCCTAATAAAACAATATATATATATATATATATATATATATATATATATATATATATATATATATATATATATATATATATCATAATAATAAAACAATAGAACAATTAAGATTTTGATTTTGTTAGGTAGGTCGAATTATCTATGATGAATATAATATCAAGAACTTGGATAAACATCATAAAAACCAGTACTGCAATATTTATTAGGGAAAAAGGAAACTAATAATCCAATCTTTTAGCGGACTTTTTACAATAGTCTCACTTTTTCATTATTCATAAATAATCCAATCTTTGCACTCCATCTTCATTCACTGATTCCTGATCGATTATTATGATTAACAATTAAGATTTTGATTTTGTTAAGGTAGGTCGAATTATCTATTATTGTTGATTATACATATAATCATATATGATTCGAATCAATTCTAAAAATGTACAGTTGACAATCAATTACTCCGTATTAATTATCTGTATGAAAACAGTTAGCGAGACCATCATATTCTCTAAAACCTCAAGTGCGAGGGATTGGTCACTTTGGTTATAACCATAGCAATATGATATTGACCTGTTTTATGGTATGGGTTGTTGGACATGGGTCGGGTTTTGGACCGACGATCCAATCTCAATTAGCGAGGAATAGATACAGAAGAAAAACTACTACTACCTCTACAAGAAAATTCACGATGGGCCGCCGATGGATTATAGAAGCCCAAACAGCCCAGTATCCCTTGCTTGTACGGCAAGAAAGTCTTCCTCTTCAGCTCTTCCGGCACCGCCGTCCGTCTCACCGTGTAATGCCGCAGCTCGGGAGCCGCCACTTCCGGCGGCACCCTCCTCCTCCGGGAGATCGAAGATGTCCCTGAAGACCCCTCGTCTTCTTCTCCGTTCTTCCCGGAATTTGTATATTTCTTCATCCATTGTACTGTACTGCTCGGCCGCCCTTCCGACGAGCTTCTGAACAGCAGCAGATCCTTCAGCTTCCACTTTCCGGAAAACACCGTAGAGATGAACGACGGCGTGAAAGAAACAGGGTAATTTTCGTCATCGATGCTCTGTTTCCGGTCCAATAGCAAATCCGCCACGCGGAAAGGGGAGAGCGATCTTGTCGCTTTGTGCCGACGATTACTCGAACAACGGGTTTCTCTACCTCGTCGTAGTCGGCCGTCGGCGGCTTCGTCTGTTCGGAACGACTTATCTACAGGGGAGGGCCGGGTACATGTGGCCGGAGGCAGCGGCTTCAGGGGTTTTATCTTGCCGGAGTCGAAGAGCTCGTCGGCGGCAGAAAAATAAGTCTTTTCTAATGGTCCACTGAATTCAAAATCAAAACTTTCGCAGATGATATCTTCTTCTTCTTCATTGGCGTTCTGTTTCCACCTGATCGGAGTTACGTCGGAAGAAAATCGTTGAGGGCTAGAAGGCGCGCTTATAAAAGGGGTAGTGCATGCACTGTCAAAGTTGAAGTCAACCAACGCCGTCGACGGCGAGGGGACCGCCGTTTCCATCTCAGCCTGCTTTTTTATACTTAGTTTTTTTCTCAGTGAAGCCAATCTGTTATATATAAACACACAAAAAGAGAGGTAGCAGCCATGTAATACCTGCCATGCTTGTGTTATTTGTGGAAACAAGTCAAACAACAATAAAAAAACATTTTTAAAAAGATTTATTAGCTCTGTCGTCATAAGTCTGAAATTTGGGATTTGACACGAAAAAATATCAGATTTTGTGATTGAGTTTGAAATTCTAAAAGTAAAAATTATTGTGAGCCGTAATTAAAATCGATGTCTCTAAATATTTTGGAACTCTGAGAAATGAAAAACATATAAAATCTTTAATAGTTGGAACAGTTTGACTTTCACATTTGTCAACGCACAACTTTGACTGTAATTATATTTAATTACGTATTATTAAAAATTATAAAAAGTTAATGTTTAGAAAATTAACATAAATAGAATATTAATAAGATTTTATACATAATTATTTGATTATAAATATTACTAGAAAATCATGATTAAAATAAGATGGGTAAATAATGTAAAAATTCTAATGTTGCAACTTTTAAGAAATAGAGAAAGTAATACTACATCTGTCCCAGAATACTTCTATAGTACAAATGACATACGGATTAAGAAAGTGAGAATTGTGTGGTGGAGAGTTGTGCAGAGGAGATAAAAATGTGTAAGAATGTGTAAGAATTGTTGTGAACCACAAATTGTTTGCAAAAAAGAAAAAAGCAAGTTTTTTGGGGACAAACGAGAAAAGAGAAAGTTGGAAGTAAATTATGAGATAGAGAGAGTAAATAAAATGGAAGAAAGGAACACATAAAACGACCTGTCAGTTTATTGTGAATATGATTTTTTATGGTGAGCTGTTACATCTGCTAGGTGTGTTGGACTTTGCTTCTCATATAGTATACCCAAATTATTATTAAAAACATCAACGTTTTTCTAAATATATATTGCGGGCAATCATACACTCCGTATGTTGTATTTATAGTAATATACTATGCCATTTATATATACATAAATAAATAAAATCATTAAAAAAATTATTTATTTTCTACTCCGTATAAACTACTCCCTCCATCCCATTTCAAGTTTTCTTGTGTGGTTTACGATGATTGCTTGACGGACACGATAAGGTTTCGATATAATATGTAGACACACAGAGAGATACACACATTGATATAAATAATTAAAATTGTATATTTTGAAACTACACTGAAAATTATTGAAGCTCAAAAATCAAAATAGAACACTGTGTAGTTTTTTACTCTGTATATAGATTAAAGATTTGAATTGAAGAAGTTAAGTTGACTATGTGAGTATTGTATGTAGAACCTTATTAAACATAAAAGAAAAAGTAAGTTACTTGTAAAAGCATTTTTTCATAACTAATACCCCTCCATCCCAATTTGTTTTGCAAATTCAATTTTTTTTATCAACCTATAATAAAAGTCAATCCTTCCTATCGATAATTAATTCAATTTTAATAATTAAAATTTACATATTTAGAAGCTACATTAAAATATCTTCAAAGTTATAAACTCCAAATTAGAATATAATTAAAATTTGACATCCAAATTAAGTGAATAAAATGAAACTGTTTGACCAAGAAAAGTCAAATTTGCAAATCAATTTGAGACGCAGGTAGTACGATAGTACGAAGTACTCCTTGCTACCTAATACGTAGTATATGAACGAAACAATTCAAGGATTAAAGGATAGTGAATAAAATCGCAATTTGATCTTTTATAATCACTAAAATTATATTGTGTTCAAATTTTATATTAACAACTATACTCGTAATAACCTTGATTACTCCCTTCGTCCCGGTCATTTTTTCCAACTTCCTTTTTGGACTGTCCTAATTAATTCTTCTAACTTACACTTTTGGTAAAACTATGTGATTCACATTCATTCACCTTTTTGTTATGCAACTACAACCATACATTTTCACTTTATTCCCAATATCTAAAGTACGTTGTATTGTGGCCAATATTTTTTTCTATATTCACTTAATATATCAGGAACAACTCATTTTTAATTTCCCGGCATCGATCTCCAAACCCACACCACGTATACCTCCCCCCACCCCACCCCCCAATCACCATAGTAAGAGTACTAAACTATCCATTTTCATGGCGTACGTCTTCGTTGAACTGTCCTATTAAAACATAAGGGTCATACTCCTCTTCATTTCCTTCTCTCCATTTCTTTTTCACTCTATCTCTCTTCTTAAAAATAATAATTAAACGTAATTTTTTTTTTCCTACCCCACCTCTCTCTATCTCTCTCCTACTGGACCATTCCAGTTAAGGGAGAGGAGCAAAATCTGAAACATAGCACCACGAAATTAAAACACCGGCCATTCATTATTGATGTGCGTGGTTGCTTTATGCTAATTAACGAAGGTAGGGGGCAAGGGGCACTTTAATCTTCTTCCGCTACTCTTCTTTATTTTTTGGTGAGTTTAGACTATGGTTCTATATATACTTCCTCCGTCCCGTTGGAATGTTCCCGGTTTGATCCACACACATATTAAAAAAATAAATTTACCAGGAGGTAAATTTTACTGTTTTGACACTGTTTTGACACCGTTTGACACTGTTTCGACACTGTTTTGCACTGTTCGACTCTGTTTTGATGTGAGATAACTTTCTATTTAGGGAAATGAGAACTTTCCAACGGGACATCCAAAAAAAGAAAGCGAGAACATTCCAACGGGATGGAGGAAGTAAATACTTCTACTTGTTGATATGTTATGATCGTGAAAGATAAAAATAAAAGCTGGTTGATGGGTACAAAGAGATCGAACTTAAAGTTGTGGGCAACAATAGATGTGACAGTCATTGATTAGGGCTTTGTTATTACTACGTATAAATGAAATTGCTCCGGCCAAATGAAACTAATACGCATAACATATACGGAGTATATCCTTATATTTTAGGAATGGTTAGAAAGAAAACAATAGTGATGCTATTTGTGTATTTTTCCTGTGTTTTTTCTAACTTAAAAATTTCCTTTATTAAAATTGGGTGTTTATGTATAGTGGGAATTGTTAGAGTCATGTGAAGCCTAACGTCCAAACTTGACATAAATTACTTATATTTAGAGAATGAAAACATGAAAGTCATGTTTTAGAATTTCAAAATGATTTTACTCTTGTTCGGGGTAATTTTTATACAATATATGGTGTCAAATATGAAGTGAAATGATTCTAATTCATGTCGATGGACTAATGCAACCTCACGAGAAAGAAACAATGAAGCACATAAACTTTCGGGTAAGAGCATCACCATACACGAGATTATTAGATGATTATTCTAGTGACATGGCAGATTATTTCGGGGAGCATGATTGAGTGAGAGAGATTATTGGGCGTGATTAATTGATTAAATAATCTGAGATCAAAATATGAAACCGGATTATTTTGAGATTATTTATGAAATTAAAGTTAATTATTTAACACATGACCACTTACAAAAGATCAGCTTATTTTGGGATAATGGTTGAAAATAATTCAGAGGGGTGAGATTATTTTTAAAACAATTATGTGGCAAATATTAAAAAATAAGAATCGCAAAAAAATCAGATTATGTTAGAAGCATGAATGTGTATGCTCTAAAAGAGTATGTTTCAATTTGGAAACTCTAGTCTCTGTTACCGTTTTGAAAAACTCTTTTTGAGAACAAATAACTTAATTATTATTAATGAATAATGAAGATGACAAGAAAAATTATAATCATAAAGCTCAAGGCTACAATGGGATGAGACATAGGTTATGTTTGGCACAACGAGCTGGAGCTGGAGGCTAATGTCTGAAATAATGACTATTGTCTGAAACGTAGACTATTGTCTGGAATTGAATTTTGAAGTGCTTAATCTGAACTGTTGACTGATTAAAATAGACGCGTTTGGCAAAAAGAGCTGAAAGGATGACCAAAAATATGAAATTACATTAGAGGACATAACATTTATTAAAAGAGAATAATTACAAAAATTATATTTTCATAAATATTAAGACAATAGAATGTGTATCTAATTGCCCCAATAGATAGCTTTGGAAATTAAACCGAACCATGTTTTCATAAACAACTTCTTTGTAAACTAAACACTCAAAAGAAAAATAGTTGTGGCCATAATCACCAAGATAGAGAAGAACGAATACCCAATTCATAAAGGCAAAGGAGAGGGAATAGATGAACCAAGTTCTTTGTGGATTATGAGTGGGGTAAAACTAAAATATGAGAAAAAAGGCTAATTAAGAAGAATTGAGAAATATGTTGGCAGAAAAAATGTGAAAGAAGAATATAGAAGAGAAGAGGTGGAGCAGCTTTGTGGCATTTGGGTTGTGAGCCATCTTTTCCGAGAAGAGTAACGTACTCGTAAGAAAGGATAATTTTGGTATGGACAGGATATTAAACAATAGACTGGACAAAACGCTACATTCCGTAGCGTGTAGGTTCAGACCATTTTTTCCAGCTTAAGCTTAGTTAAGCTAACTATCCAAACAATGCTACTTTTAGGATAATGAGCTAGATTCAAGAAATTTCAGCCCTTTTTAGCTGAAATGGCATGCCAAACATAGCCATAGAAACGGACGATTCTAATCGAAAACGTTGAATCGCTAATCCTGCAAAGAAGTAGACTCTACCTGCAGATTGACTGTTTGTGCTACGATCACAATAATTATCAAAAGAACTCTTAAACATCCCGGATTCTCTAGCCATTGGTAATGAGTCAACGGTAGAATTTGTTCCGATTTCACCAGTCACCGAAAAGAAAGCAATCCAAATGATCTCATCTAAAAGAGTCTCTATTTACCCTTTTGAAAAACTCTTTAAACACTGTTTTCTCTATTAAGATAGATAGTACTAAGCATAAGTTTCCTCCGTTACGTTATTCCTTGGTTTGTAGTTTTCATATTGCCGTGCCACACGGAAGTGAACACTGATGAACGAAATAGCCGCCGCCTTGATTATAGGAGAGGAACGAATTGAAGAAGCATTTTTGTATCGAGTCTTATACACATTTTTGTACACACGTATATTTGTGTAAGCTTTTTTGTCTATGAACATCGATTCACAGATAATGTTTTGCACAAACAAAATATTGT